ACTGGATAGTCATTACTGTTTTCTATTGCTTTTCCTTATGTTTTTATTGAAATTCACTTAGATTTTTAGTAGTAAAATAAGTGTTGGAAAGTACATTTTCCACAGTCTAAGAAAGAAAGGCCTGACATAATAGTGACCATCATGTATGATGAAGACAATCAATAAGTCAATTCACTTTTGAAAATAAAGTGTTTGAGAAATGAGAATAGATTAGAAACAGGAAGAAGCAATGGTAAGTAGAACTTTTTATGTTTATTAAAAAATTTAAAACTCATTCATATTTACTGACTAACAGTAAAGCTGTATGTAAAATCAATGTGTAAGAATGCAAACCTATAAAGGTTAAACATTTTTGTTAGATTTTATTGAAGTTCCTGTACACCATATTGTCCCTAAAAAGAGCAAAATTGTAATTCTGCTGGAAGAAATAATAAGTTGTTCATCAACAGAAAATGTTTAGTGGCTTCTCAGTTCTTTTTTGTGACTAGGGATTATAAAACGTAGATGGTACTTATTTGGCACATGAAATAAGGACATTGTTGCGCTGGGAGCCACAGCTTCACACACACAGACGTAGTGTTAGCTACATCCTTAAAATGTTTGCCATGTTTGGTGGTTCACTGAGCTTCACAGCTAAACCTATATCTCATCTCCAAAGCTTTTTGTGATAATTGTATATATTCCTTGTGTTTCTTAAAGTGAACTTTTATGTTTTGATGTAACTCTTGTCCTCAGAGACTTGTAGATGTCATTCATTGTCATTTATTCAGTTATTGGTACGACAGATGATGAAATCTTTTGACTGTGCTCATTTTATGATCTGGGGATAAATCATATTTTGCAATCACAAAATCTAACTTATTAAAATACATTAAAATGTTGCTTTACATTTTTAAATTAAGAAATGCCAAAAAGATGACATGATCACATTTTCTGTTTTGTTTATTTTGTGGAACTTTCAGAGTGTGTCAGTTTTCACCTTTTCTCCGTACGCCTAATGTAAATCACCTCTGAGAAGTAGGCTATTACGATTAAAGGCAAACATGTATCTCTTAATATGACATTGGATGGCTTTTTAAATGCAGTGTTTGAAAGTGTATCCAAATATAAAATTGCAAAGTTTTAGAAGTTAATGGTACTTACTGTCTCATATCCACCACAGTCCTGTAATTTATTAAGTAAGGCATTCATTTCATGCATTTACTAATGAGCTATTACAAATGGACTGCCAGTCTCTGTGTTGCTAATTCTGTATGCATATGAAATCACACATATAAGTTCAACACACACTTGAGTGAATATGATTGATGTCATTTAAAAAAAATAGGTTTTGGCCTGACCTTTATGTATTAAGATGAAAATAAGATTGCATAAATAGCATCAAGGCTAAAAAACATCATTCTGCTTCATTTGACATGCTTCACACAATACAGGAGTTAGGCCTAGCTTGATTGATTTTAGAAAAATGACATGACTTAATATACATAAACAAATTGGGTCTTGATTTCAGTCATTGAGATACTGCACTTGATCTTCTTCCATGTGCTGTCTACCTCTGGCAGCTGCTGGTTTACTTTCTCCGAGAGACATTTTGGGTTAATGCTCCTAACATTGTGTTGTGTCAGATTGGACCAGTTCTTCAAATGTATACCAGTCTTTATGTTAGTTTAGATACGTCTCCAAAGTTTTTTTTATATTCCTGAGATTTTGATTACCAGACTACCAACTGTGCAGTCTATATCCTCAATCTGTCACAATAATATTAAAAGTAATGACTTTGGTATATATATAATATGTACATGCACACACACTGTGTGTGTGTGAGGACCTAGTTATAGCTTTTGTACAACAAAGTCAATTCAAAATAATCAAGGAGTTAGCATCAAATTCCAGAGGTTTCTACAAAGATTCACCCCATATGAGAGTGGAGTTTCCCTTTGTCTTGTGTTTTGTATCACATGTTATCCTTTACCACTGCTTTGGCGTTCGGCAACCTGTACTCAATGATTTACTAATCTTGAATCTGTACTCCTATCTAACATACAGACCATGCCAATATCTGAGCTTAGGACTAATAATTTCTTATGTCTATGGATATTCTTGTAAAGGGGGATGGTAAATCCTACTGTACACATGAGTGATCTCCTGTTGAAGCTTGGTCTAAATATATGTGATTAATTTATTGAACGGCTATTGGACCAATAATTCAAATTAGAAAGTTCCATACATCCTGTACGATCATTGGTATCTGGTCAACACCTAGTTTTTTTGTGTGATCGTGTTGTACCTGTATTGGTGTTTTAGGATCTGATGGCCCTTTAGTTAGCAGCAGTTTCTCCATTTCCATCAAGTATCATTGAACAGTTATGGCTAAAATAAAGACTAATTCACATCCATGCTGGCTCAATGCAAGAGCAATTTAGTTAGCCTCATTGTTGACCCTGCAATTTTTTTTAAATCTTCAGGTATGCACTCAATTCCCTTTTGAAAACCACAATTGAATTTGACTTGACAATTCTCTTAGGCTGGGCATTTAGGATCTGAAGGACTTGCTGCATTAAAAAGTATTCCTTGTGTTCTTGCTGAATCTGTTGTCAATCACCCTAAATCTGTGTTCTCTAGCACACAACCCTTCTCTCAATGTTAACAATTTCTCTCTATCTCGTGTGTTAAGGCACCAAATGAACTTGAAAACCTCTGTTAAATCTCCACTCAACCTTCTCCTCTCTAGGGAGAGCAACCACATAATCCATATAACTGAAGTTCTTTATCATTGGAATCGCTCTCATGAATTTTTATTACATTCTCTCTAAAACTTTTACATCCTTCCTAAAGTATGATGCCCAGATTTAGACACAATACTCTTGGCCTAAATGTGTTTTATAAAGGTTCATCATAACTACCTTACTTTTCTATGCTATATCATACCTGCTTTATAACTGTACCCTTTGTTTTATATTGCCTCTACATGTTCCTCCTACCAAAATGTCACACTTCATAATGGAAATAATTGCTCTCTATCTCCTCTGTCTGGACACCTCGTGATTTTGAACATCTCTATCAAATCTCCTCTCAACTTACTGTCAAAGGAGAATGCTCCTCAACTTCAGGTGTTTGCTTAGCTTTCGGCATTTTTGAACAAATGTCACGTTTTTTCTCTATTTTCTGTTAATTTATTTGCCCAGCATTATACGGAAATTTGTATTGACCAGTGTGCAAAACAGGTGACGTCATATCGGTTGCTCATTATGTGTAGCATTCTATATTCAATTCTATTGTGGTCACAGTTCAAAATATATTTCTATCTCACTATGTTTAAAAACAATATTGCAACAACTGGCACTGTTTTCTAATAGATGTCATAGAGTCATAGATTTGTGGAATCATACAGCACAGAAACAGACTCTTCGATCCAACCAGTCCATGCCCCGAACATAATCCCAAACTAAACTAGCCCCACCTGCCTGTTCCTGGCCCATATCCCCCCAAACCTTTCCAATTCAAATACTTATCCAAATGTCATTTAAACATTGTAATTGTGCCCACACCCACCACTTCCTCAGGAAGTTTATTCCACACATGAACCATCCTGTGTAAAAAATTTACCCATCATGTCTTTTTTAAATCTCTCCCCACTCACCTTAAAAATGTGCCCCTCATCTTGATATCCCCCATTCTAGGGAAAAGATACTTATCATTAACCCTATCTATACCACTCATGATTTTATAAACTTCTATAAGGCCACCTCTCAATCTCCTATGCTCCAGGGTAAAATGTCCCAGCCTATCCAGCCTTTCTTTATAACTCAAAACTTCACGCCCAACAACATCCTTGTAAATCTCCTCTGAACCCTCTCCAGCTTAATAATATCCTTACTATAACTGGGTGACCAGAACTGGACACAGTACTCCAGAAGAGGCCTTACCAATGTCCTGTACAACCTCAACATGACTTCACAACTCCAATACCCAAAGGACTGAGCAATGAAGGCAGGCATGCTAAACACCTTTTTAACCACCTTGTCTATATATGGCGCAAACTTCAAATAATTCTGTACCTACATCCCTAGGTCCCTCTGTTTTACAACACTACCCAAGGCCCTACCATTAATTGTATAAGTCCTACCCCTGTTTGTTGTACCGTTTATCCAGATTGAACTCCATCTACTGTTTTTCAGCCCATTGACCCATTTGATCAAGATCCCTTTGTAATCTTAGAAAAAACAGTCTTCACTGTTTTTATGCCATCTCTTTTTGAAAAAAATCTGTTCACGGGATGTGAAGTTGATGGCTTGGCCAGCACTTATTATCCATCCCTAATTCCCTTAAAGAATGTGAGTTCCTTGTCATTTGAAATGGTAGAGTTTGTGACTTCAGAATAAACTGACAGTTGAGCTGAGGTAAGTTACTTCAGCGCATCTTTTAGATGGTACACACTGCTGTCACTGTGCATTAGTGGTGAAGAGAATTAATGTGTCAGCTGGTAAATGGGATGCTAAAGGTTGGGTTACTTTGTCATGGATAATGTTGTTCTTCTTAATTGCTGTTGGAATTGCACCCACCCATGCAAGTGGAAAGTATGTCATTACACTCTTATCTTGTAGGTGGAGGACAGGCATCTGCATCCTGGATGTACACCACTTCCTCTTTAGTTCAGTCGGTGGCTCAGTGGTTAGCACTGCAGCCTCACAGCACCAGGGACCCGGGTTCGATTCCACCCTCGGGCGACTGGCTGTGTGGAGTTTGCACATTCTCCCTGTGTCTGTGTGGGTTTCCTCCAGGTGCTCTGGTTTCCTCCCACAGTCCAAAGATGTGCAGGTTAAGTGGATTGGCCATGCTAAATTGCCCATAGTGTTCAGGGGTGTGTGGGTTATAGGGGGATGGGTCTGGGCGGGATGCTCCGAGGGTCAGTGTGGACTTGTTGGGCCGAAGGGCCTGTTTCCACACTGTAGGGATTCTATGAAGTCTCACTAGATACAGTTTTCTTTGTATTATTCTAGGTCAAACTTCCCTTTCAGCAAGTGATCAGCCTACGGATGATGGAACATGTAAAGTTATCAGTCCCATACCAGAACAGAGGAAAGATGCCACAGTACGGTCAGACCGCTCACCACGGCCTTCAAAAGAAACATCAAAAGAAGGTTCGTGGATTCATTCATCTCCATTAGTAGGCTCCACGGACAGTAAGAAAACTAAATTTGGTTGCCAATCAGCAAGTTCATAACAAAAACACTGAAGATAACTTTATTAATGACTAAAATGTTGACTGTGGCAGACTAAAATTGGAAATTGCATTCAGTTTAGACAAAAGTTATGGAAATATTAGCTTTAATAGTTTACAGCTCTCCATTGTAGCTTATCAATGTACAAAGTAGTATGGCCTAAAATTCACAGGGGCCTGCTCCACTGAACCCAATCTGAGGTCTGGGCTAGAGCACTCTAGCCCAAATTGCTGGTTCAAGGTTACTTGCAAACCTGGACTGGCTGCTCGTACCAGCCAAGATGCATTAAGAACTCTGAGGTGGATTTGAATGCAGACATGCTGTTTGCAGTTCTGTCTGAAGGGTCTCAATGACGATAAAGAAAGCAAAGAATTTGTAAATTTTTGTCTCCTATGGCTTCTGGTAAGTTAAAGAGGATAAGGCTGAATCTAACAGTTTTTCAACTAAGTGCAAGGCACATCGGATTTGGTGGAGTGATTCCTACCATATGGCCAAGAAAGTTATCTCACAATATCTTGCCAAACTGCATTAATTGCTATTTTCACCCATATGCTGTATATCACCTCTGATTTCCATCCCATCTTACCATGCGCCATTCCCAGAATAACTTGCCACTCACAAAAAATCTGCATTAAGACTACCATCCCCTAAGCATGTGCCAAATTTGAAAGCCCATTGACGTCTGGCAGCTGCTCTACTCACTATCTGGGACTGACGAGACATGACCGAGAAGGGGCATTGGCACATCAGTTCTCAAAAAGGTTCCCTCAATGAGATTGTTCAGATTAGGATCATTGACTTCCTGGAAGACCATCAGAGAAGGCTATGCCACTGCATTATGCCATCCTGGTTGATGATTGTCACCTAGATCAGTGCTGCTGCAAAGGTATGGAGGACCAGGCTGCATTGGCACAAAAAGATCATTGACTTTCTTCACTCTGCCAGGATAAAGGGCCATATTCTGCTTTCCGCTACCTCACACGCACTCAATCCCCGTCATCGTACCCACCCTCTCATCAAGGCTCATGTTCTAACACCTCCTCCGTTACATGCAATGCCTTCCCTCACTTATTCTCATTGCTGCTCATCCTCCCACACTAATAATTCTGCATCCCCTCTGTGCTGCCTCCTTATCCCAACGGAACACCTCAACAAGTTTCCTCCATATGCATCAATGTTAACAGCATCCATTTGTGTCTTACTTAGTCCTGTAAACATCTATATGGCTCCATGGACAGATTGATGGCTGCCCTGAGAGGGAGAGAGTCCCAGTATTCTAAGGTCTGCTGCACAGTCACCCTACCTGCAGTGTATTGCCCCAGACATTGGTCATCAGGATTGAAGACAAGGTGATAGTGGGGCAGGGAGCCTTGAGACTGGTTCACCTACCCCCCCAACACAAGGGGACAGGACATTACCGTGAGGCAGCAAGCTAGAGGAGGAACTGCATTCAGGCCCTGTGGAAATGTTTGGGCCCTCACCTCCGCCCAGCCTCCCTTCCCCTCCAACCTATGGAAGTTCAGGCCAAGATGGGACAAGATCCTCAGCAAGTCTGGCCCATCCACACTCAAACACCCTCAGGGTCACCCCACCAAACATCCAGGGTGATCAGGCTCCACTATTGAGCATGCTCCTTCCACCCCATCATTGGAACAGAGAGCTCAGTGTAGCACAGAGGGCAAGGTGAAGGAAATTATACTGAGGGGACAGCAGCTTACAATGTTCTGTAAATAGCTTGTTTTTCACCGTTCCTGTGATTTTTCCTGTCTCTGGGTAGGGTCTAGAGGCTTCGATGTGCCTTACAGCATCACTTCTGGGACAGTGACAAGAGGCAATTGTTGGGGGGGGGGGGGGTGAGGGGGGGTTGGTGGTGGGGTCAGTGACAAATGCTGATTGCATCATGTGGGTGCAGGGGTAGCAATGTGTTTCCATGAGCATTGTGAGAGCATTGACGGCCATTCCCCTGAAGATTGCATACTTTCCACATGTTTAACAATTGAAACACCAGTGGCTAGTCCTCTGCCGCAGGCTTTTAGCCTCTGCTGAGACCCTGACATTGTCTTCATTCTGTGAACCCCACACATTTCACACTCCCTCAGGTCATTACCCAGCCCTCCACCTGAACCAGAAGTATCACTAACTTTTATCTCCCTAAACACATGCCTCTCTTATTCCCAGCAGAAAACAGCCCCCATAGGCAAGAAAAACTTGAGATGGATGGTAGGCTGCCCACGTGCAACTCCTCATCCTTTACATGGCAGGCATCCTGATTCTGACAGTCCTGAGTGGCTATTGGACTGAGTACATCCCTGTGGACTGATACTGCGGGCTGCTCTTCACTTACAGTATTGGGACACCATTACAGAAGACAATCCCCCTTGTCTTGACTGCAGCCAACCATGACAAGCTTCTTTCCTTTGAGTCTGCACTAAGGAAAAAGTCAAGAAAGCAGTGAGCCTCATACTTCTGGCTAAAGGTGGTCAAAGTGCAGAAAGACAAGGCAGTGTGATGGGCTTTCTTATGACCCGGTTGGCAATTTCAGATCAGGCTGCCAGAGTGTGGGTGGCATGCCCTCTGGGATGATGATCCCACTCACGTAGACTGTGCCATCCACCAGGGACTATCCCACTTTCCCCCAGTCAAACATCTTCAGAAAGGCTATCATTTAACAAGCAGGGCAGCTTTGAAACGCCAGTGCTTGTCTGGGTGCACAGCAGCTTTTTCAAGATGGCGCGGGCTCCAGGCATGCATATCTTTAAGCAGACACCTAGAGTATGGCAAGTTCTGGGAATGGTGAGTGGTAGGATTAGGGATAGAAACATTTAAGAGGGCAGCATAGGGGTGAAGTACATAGTTAATGAGATGAGAAGTCCTCCATGCCAAAATATGACACTGAGCTAAAATAAAAACATTCGATCTCATTTATTTAATCTGTCCTCATAATTTAATTTTTGAGATACAGGTATCATTTTAGAAAACATACACTGCATCCCTCCAAGGCCAAAATATAATTCCAGAGATGAAGCCAGCAAAACTGCTCACAATTCTTCAGGTGTTATCTACCCAATGTTTTATATGTCTAAGTGTCTAATATTAGAGGGCATGCATTTAATGTGAGAGGGGAAAAGTTCAAAGGAGATGTGAGAGCAAGTTTTTTTACACACAGACTGGTAGGAGTCTGGAACGTGCTGCCAAGGATGGTGTGAGGCAGATACGATAGGGGCGTTTAAGGGAATTTTAGATAAGCACATGAATATGCAAGGGATGGAGTGATATGGACCAAGGGCAGGCAGAAGGGATTAGTTTCATTTGGCGTCAGTTCAGCACAACATCATGGGTGAAAGGGCCCGAACTTGTGCTGTGCAGTTCTATGTTCTATATAGCTGAAATGTCATTTCTTAGCCTTTTTTATTCTATCCACAAAATATGAAGGCCTATTATTATCCTATTCATTATCCGATTTGATTATTTTCTGTATCTGTTCATGGCATTTTAATAAGTTAATAGTTTTCTAAATTTCTTCATGTCTCTACCATTTCTCACTTTGACCCTTTTCCAAAATGCCCTGTTTGTCTTTTGTAGGTCCAACATGGACACTTAACCTTACTCTGCTTTGAAATCTTATTATCGCACTTTTCTCATTCACTTAATCTGACAGTATCCCTTATAATTTATCTTCTATCTACACTTACTACTGTTATCAGTGGATTTAGATATGTAACTTTCTATCCCATCAACTCATTAATAAATACAATGAATAACTGAGGGTCCAACATAGGTGCTTACAGGACATCCTGCGAATTAGAATACTTATTCATTGTCCTTACTCCTGTTCTCCTGCTGCTCAGCTAATTTCCTAATCATGAATTTGCCTTCAATTCATTGAGCTTCAAACTTTACCTAACAGTCCCTTTTGAGGGATTTTATCAAATGCCATCTGGAACTCCATCCATATAAGTAACATCCATCGATAGTTCACCATCCACATTGTCACCTCTTCAAAAAATTCAATCAAGTTCCTCTGTCGTGATCAGGAGTGAAAACTGTAACTACTTCTGCACTTCCAAAGGAAGAGAAAGCCATTTATAGCATCTGCACCACAACCAGGAATCCAGTCAGGTTCTCTGTGTCCTTTATGATGCAGCTACTTAGTGGATCACTGGATCAGTCAGATTTAATGAGTACAATAATTATCCAGCATAAATGTTTATGTTGAGCCCTGTGCCCCTAAATCACTTCAAAAAGCAGAAGAGTCTTCTAAGATTAATCAAAAATGCATTGGATCATTTGGGATATAACAAAAAAAATGCATTGAGTAAATTATGCTCCATTAAGTGATAGTTTGTCATTCATGGCCATTTGACATATGCACAATTGTTAAAGAGAGTGGATGTGCAAACCTCTGGAAATAGGGGAGCTGATGGCCAAGTGGTATTATTACTAGTCTATTAATCCAGAGATCCTGAATGTTCTGGGAACCTGGGTTCAAATCACACCTCAGCACATCTAATGATGACCATGCATCCATTGTCAATTGTCAATTGTCACAAAAACCCATCTAGTTCACTAATAATGCTCTTTTGCAAAGGAAACTACCATCCTTACCCGGTCCAGTCTACATGTGACTCCAGACCCACAGCAATGTGGCTGACTCCTAAATTAGGGATGGGCAATAAACACTGGTCTAGCCAGTGATGCCAACATCCTATGAATGAATTTTTTAAAAAATGATAATAGAAATATAATTTGGTAGTAACGCTGCACTAGCCTTAATGCTGCAGTAGGTATCTCCAGAAAAATACTCAATTAATGTTAGGTCCCTTAAATTTGAAATTTGTGAATTTGAACTTAAAATGATAATACCAATTTGATCCATTCTCTATCAAATCTGCAAAATGTTGGAATTTTCAGTCAAAAATCCAAATTGTTGTTTAAAATTATTCCATATTTAACTGACACATTATTACATTTATTGCTGCTTTGTGTTGCCAGTCCTATTATATGTTCAAATCACCTTCCAGATAGTCATTGATGTTCCCACATTCTCATTCATAATCACTAACTCTCCCCTGTCTCTTAATCATTTTCATCTTTCTTACCAGATGAATGTGCAACCCTCATACTTGCCTGTCTGTTCTGCCAGTTTTACTCTGTTCTGCTCAAGCTATCTCACATTGGGGCAAATCAATAGAGCCAGAGATATGGCTTTTATTGTCATAAATATAGTTCTGATGTGAACCATAACTTCCATGATTGTAACTGCAAGTGAGTTTGACCATGGAATATTTGACTCTTGTTAGGAAACCAATGAATGTTTGGAAATTTCTAAAATTTGCTATCATTGATCTGCTTTATGGATCTGATAGGAATATTGCAGTAAAGCTAATAAGCATAGTCTGGATAGTTGATTACACAGTATCTCTTCGAATAAGGGCAAGCTCCTTTGTGATTATATAATTTGCTTTTAATGACTGCAGTATTCAGGCATCATTTTCTGCAAGTGTCCAAAATAAATCCTGAGTGTAGCTTACTATTACAATTTGTACATCTGTACTATAGTATAGATTTTTAAATATTGTTAGATTACATTTTTTTCCTTTTTGCTTCCATTATACGCTTAAGATGACCGCTGTGCCCAATGCCTGTTAGCCTGCCTATTTTGTGAACTGCTGTTCCTGTGCAAATCCATCCTTGATACCACATCATGTGGTGGATTCAATACATGCAGTTGCTGTGCTGAAGATTTTGAAAACTACAATCTGACTTGCTGTACGGATTGTGAGGACCTGGAAGAAAGTTGTGTAAATTCTGATTGTATTGGGATTTGTTCTGAATGCTGTGGCCTCTGTTTTCCTTCATGATCACTGAAGAGAAAACCTTTGATCTGTGTTCTTAGTCTACATGCTGAATCTTGAGTTTTTGAAATACTTTTTTTGAAAAATAAGAAGGAAGTACATTCATGTGTACAAATAAAGCAGATTACAAATACAAATCTCATATAACTTTAATACCAATAAACAGCAAAACAATGCCCTCCGTAAATGTACTATTGCATGTTTCGATTTAATGTGCATTATTTCTGCCTTTGTTTTTAAAGTCACAGGAATGTAGATATTTAATGAAGGTACTAATGCATCAACAAATTAATATACCAATGTTTAAGCACTAAAATGTGAGTACGCTTTGAAATACATATTCCAATTAAAATTAATTACTGATCACATGCAAATTTAGGATGATTTCCTTTATCGCATGAAAGATATAATATAGGTTACAAAGATACAAATGATATTCATAATCAAATTGTAGCGATTTTGTAAATATTCAAAAGCAATGTAACAAGTTTGCTTGTGATGTCATTCTCAAGTTATGCAGTTTTTAATGTTATTAATATCAACTGTATAAATAAATAAAGGTATACACGTTTGCATGAGTGATGGATATTTTATATGATTGCTTAAAAGAAATTTCCTGCATTCACTGATCAGATAATAATACAATGACTGCTTCACCACATTACACACCAAACAGAAATCGGAGTAAAGCACAATTTCTTTAGAGTTTCTTCTCTACCCTTACTTTTTACAACAGCATTTTTAAACCATAATCAAGATATGTGTGATTTTAAATAATATTTATAGATCCCTCTTAGTTCTTTAAAGGCATTTATGAAGTGCAGCAACCCCATTTTTCAGCTAAGATGTTAAATCAAAATCCTGCCTGCCCTCTCAGATGGAAGTAAAATTATCCATTGTACTATTTGAAGAGCAGAGGAGTTCTCCGGGTGTTCTAGTCAACATTTATCTCCCAATAAACACCATTAAAAATAATTTAATTGGTTATTTATTTCATTACTGTTTGTGGGACCCTGCTGTGCATAATTAACTGCTGCATTTCTCTATGTTACGACAGTTCACAAAGTAATTAATTGACTGTGAATCACGTGGGGATGTCCTGCAGTCATGAAACATACTTTACAAAGTCCAGTTCCTTTTGTTTTTCTTTTCTTTCTCTTTCTTACATTGCTTCCAGAAATTACAGCTGAAATTGTCACATTTAAAATTAAAGTACTTGTTTGGGTAGGGCAAGGCAACTGGACTTAATTCCATTAAACCCAGAATACTATAGAAAATGGATATACGAGATGGTTAGCAATTGATTCAGGACTTATTGGCTTATGTGCTTGATATGAAAATTTTAGGCCGAGGCTGAAAGAGTTTCAGAGGAAGAGGTGGGAGTCTATAATGTGATACAGATCAAGGAAAGGACTGGAGGGTAATTTCCAATAGCATTAGGAAGTGTCACGTGGCTGTAAGATAACAAAATAGGACTTCACTTTGTACAGATGCATACGTCAAATATAAATCAAATTTTGGCAATAAACAAATTTGGCACATTTATACAGAGAATGCCATTGAAATTTCTCTGCACTTAGTAAAGAAAATTGAGGCCCCTGAGTAATTGCAGAAGAGGGTGTCTGAAAGACACCTAGCTTAAGAACTCCTAATTATAAGAATGGACACTATGAGATAGGGCTATTGACTTCAAGAAGTGAAGACTGAATATGATCCATTTCTTTTTAATGCATAGGAGATTGGTTTCAATCAGATTGGATAAGTTACCTGAGACAGACATATATGTATGTATTAGAAGACATTCTTATAAAATATTTAATCAGAGTTATGCCACCTGCCAGGAAGCATTTTGTTTTGCAGAAAGTCATCCTTCTCCAGCAAGAGCTACTCAGACATTTGAACAGAGATAGTAGGAACTGTAGATGCTGGAGAATCTGAGATAACAAGGTGTAGAGCTGGATGAACGCAGCAGGCCAAGCAGCATCAGAGGAGGAGAAAGGCTGACGTTTCGGGCCTAGACCCTTCTGAAGAAGCTTAACTTCCCATATATTGACTTCCCATATATATTCTGAAGGAGGGTCTAGGCCCGAAACGTCAGCCTTCCTGCTCCTCTGATGCTGCTTGGCCTGCTGTGTTCATCCAGACATTTGAACAGCCTGCTTTACTTCAAAAGGAATTTGACAATTACCTGAATGTAGAAAACACTTCCAGTAACTGAGGATACGTTGCTGCTGGTTGTGAGGCTGAGGATTTATGGAGCCTTGCTGGATTCTCTTTAGTGGTTGGAGAAGAAATTCATAGGTTTTTCTAAACTGGCCACAGTTTTTTTTGCCCAAAAGAGATTACATCATCAGGGGATGTATTAAGTACACACAGGGTTAGACAGGGTGGCATGCAGAGAACTCTCCTTTTGGCATTTACCTTTTAACTCTTGTACTGGTCTCTTTGCGTGCTATCCTTCTTCTGGCCAATAGGAGGTTCATCATGACAATCTGGTCTAATAACTCTCCAGCATTGCTTTCATTTAATACTCACAAACAGCAAGATTAGAAGATACTTGTCATAGCGGATCAAAAGTGTAAAGACTTCTTCATCAATTACCTTAACTCAATCATACAGCTAAAAGTGGGGATGTTCAGTGATGTTGCACAATATTTAGCACGATTTGCATCTTCTCAGTGACTGAAGCGGTCCATGTCCATGTACATCAAAACCTGGACAACATCCAAGCTTGGGCTAATATAGGGCAAGTAACTTGCACAGATGCTAGTGCCAGTTAACAACCAAGTCAAACATGAGATAATCCAACTATTCTCCCGTGACAGGCCCTCCTGGATGCTCCTTACAAACTCTGCCCCATCCGAGCCACAAGCACTAAGGGAGTCCCAGTTAATATATGGGAAGTTAAGCTTTTTCCCAGAGTGGAAGAGTCAGTTACCAGGGGCCATAGGTTTAAGATGTGAGGGGCAAGGTTTAAAGGTGATGTACGAGGCAAGTTTTTTACACAGAGGGTGGTGGGTGCCTGGAACTCGCTGCCAGGGGAGGTAATGGAAGCAGATACTACAGTGACTTTTAAAGGATGTCTTGATAAATATATGACTAGGATGGGAATAGAGGGATACGTTCCCCGGAAAGGTTGTGACGGGCAGCATGTTGGTGCAGGCTTGGAGGGCCGAAGGGCCTGTTGCTGTACTGTAATTTTTTTTTGTTCTTTGCTCTTTGTTCTTTGACATTCAATGCCATTATCATCACTGAATCCCCATTATTAATATCCTAGTGGCGGTCTTTGATCAGAAACTGAACTGGACTAGTCATATAAACGCTATTGTTACAGCAGCAAGTCAGACACTAGGAGCTCTGAACTAACTAACTCACTTCCTGTCTCGCCAAAGCTTGTCCTCCATCTACAAGACATAGGATGGAATATTATCTATTTTCTTGGAATGAGTGCAGCTCCAACAACTCACAAGAGGTTTGACACCATCCAGAACAAAATAGGTTTTTACACTGTCCACTTCATTACCTATGAACCACAAGCCACAAGACTGTTCTTGTGCTATCTTGTGCTCACCACTAACAGCATTCTGGGTGTATCTACACATCAAAGACGATAGCAGTTCAAGAAGGCAGCTCACCAGCTCTTCTCAAAGGTAAATAGGGAGGAGCAATAAATGCTGCACCAACCAGCAACATCTCCTGAATAGATAAAGTGAAGACATCTATCCAAATATGGATCTACTATTGAAATGGCATATAAATCAAACATAGGACTTAGAAGCAAGAGTAAACCACTAAATAGTTTGTGCCTTATCTGACTGAATTAATAAATGTAGGGACAGAGATTGAACACTGTTTTATCTATTTAGTAAGCTAAATATAAATGTTATGGAGTTTAATTTTAAGCCATGATCTTGCACATTCAATTTGCATGAGAAATCTCCAAATTGGAAATTAGCAACATCTATGCTTGCAGAAAATCCACTTTAGGTACCATATCTCTGCAAAAACAACCAAGTGTAAGACCTTAATCAAAATTGATCAGAAGAATTGGCATGGCTTCAACCAGACGCACTCAGCCCAGTTGTTCCTGAGTTTAAGTGGTATAAGCAAATGTCCTTAAATAGGCCTTTTTTTTCCAGACTGATTTGTTATCAGATTTTTTTATTATCAGTGAAGGACACCACCTAGGAAATGAAGGTAATGATTCATATTGCTGCCTGCCTTTTCAGAAATGGCATAAATTTGCATCAGTGGCAGAACACCAACAAAGATCTCTCCCACTGGCATTTTTGAAAAAAAATCATTTCTACAGAACTAAAATGATTAGGTCATTTTTCCTGGCCACACAATAAAGTATTGGAACTTTGTGGATCCAGACTCATCCTTGCTTTATTTTACAACTCAATTTCACATTTTGTTACATTTTCTGAATCTGTCACCCTGGGTTAAAATTAATCCGGATGTCCGCGTTTTCAAGAACAAATCACTTTGCATTAGGTATCAGACTCGAATCAATTTTTCATTTTATTGCAATTCTTAAAAAAATGGATCATCCACTACTCGCAGTAATTGACTTTGCTAATTAAATAATGCTAACGCATAAAAGCCAGCCAGTCCATCTCAGACAGTAGCTACAGTGGCACAATAGCATATATAACTTGCCAGACTAAATTACTTCTTTGAGTAAACTCAATGTAAAACTTTTCACTTATGTAACAGAAAGAGGAAAATACACCGTGGATAAATCCATTGAGACTGATTTGCCCTCTGCTTTGCAGATAGCAATTATTATTTCCCAAATGAAAAACAATGGAAAAATGTTCCAAGATCTTATGACACAAAGTCCTACACATTACTGTGTCAGCAGGTTCTGGTATGGAGTTGGATGGCTTTAGTGTCTGTTTTTGTATAGGAACAAGAATGACTGGAGCGGTAGTAATTAGTTTCTTTGCAGATTTCATGGTTGTTAGTAGCAGTTGACTTTCCTCCTCACCTACTTTGCCAGGTGTGACATTCATTGTAGAAATAGGCTATCAAAGTTCAATTTTCATCCTCTTATTGTCATATTTGAGAGCTTTCATGGACTAAAATGGTTTTAAAATAATCAAACACCGACCTAAAATGGCTGCTGTCATCACCTGACAACAAATTGAGGCAAATCAGAGTCTGTATGAAATAATTGAAACTGGTTGCATTAGATTAGAATATTATCAAAAGACTGAAAGCAGCCAACTGAGTCAACGACAAGAAATTAGCATCTTTTGTTTAATTTCCACTTACAAGATAAATTCAAACAGCACATTCAGTTTGAAAGGACAATGGAACAGACTCAGGAATTTACAAATAGACCTACATTGACAGCTGCTTCAAGCAGCAAGGCAAAAACAGAAAGAAAAATATATT